TATCACTACATTGTCTATATCTGCAAATGCTTTACCTTCGATACTCAGCACTGGTCTTCTATAAGTATAGCATTTTTTAATCCTTATTTTAAACTATATAGATAGATAGTGCGATGGGTAAATTTTTAATTTCGCGCATGTGCGTTGTTTCTTTGGAATGTTGTCGACTGCAAAGTATAGTATGGTCAGTTGGTTGGGCAACGTCTGTGAGAAAAAGAGCATCATGACACAATTCACTCTGACAGAAATTTCGAAACAGCATGCTGTACTGCTTGGCATTCGTACCGGAAGCTCGAATACGAACAATTCAGAGTGTTTGGGTGTCAATCGGAGGACAGTGCAGAGGATTCGGAAAGAGTTTAGGAACTCAGTCATGGCTGTCAGACAATTTCGGCGACCACATCACGCCTTACATCTAGCGGCCTAACTCCCCAGAGCATAATGCTCTTGGTTTATTATGTGTGGAGTTTCGAAAGACCAACACCAAAAAAAAAAAAAAAAAAAAAACGAAGGAAAGGATTATAGACACATTGAACTAAGCAGAGTTACAAGAGATTCAGAAGCCGTGGTTGAAGGCAATGGCGATTTTACTGAATAAATTTACTCTTTAGTATTTCAAGATATTTTATATATATATATATATATATATATATATATATATATATGTGTGTGTGTGTGAAAAGTGTATATAAATATAAATATATATATATATATATAACTATTTATATATTATATGCGCGGCACTTATTAGAAAGCGCTCAATATCAGAGATAGAGCTAACATATTTGGTTGGATAGATGTGAGTTTGTGACCCTGGGTTTCACGCTTTGGCGATCGTCAGACATATATATATATATATATATATATATATATATATATATATATATATATATAGTGTGTGTGTGTGGTGATAGAAATATTCGTACAAATACACATTTTTAATTTAATGTATTTCCAACTAATGAATAAACATACTATTCACATAATTAACTGTGCACAGATGCATAATAACTAAATATACATAGAAAACAGGAAAAAATTTTATTTAATATAAATAAATCACTTTTATCCAATATAATGTGTGGAAAAATTATTCATACAATGCAAAAAGTATACATAATCTTTATTTAATACTTTGTAGAGTAGCCATTATTCAGTTTGACAGCAATCAACCTCTTGTAGTTCTCAATTAAAGATTTGCAAATTTTAGTTGGTATTTTGTTCCATTCTTCTTCGCATATGTTCTTCAGATCCGGGATGTTTGACGGAGCTCTCGATAGGATACAAATTATGCCACAGATTTTGGATTGGGTTTAAATCTGGGAACTGACTTGGCCATTTCAGGATATTTGCATTATTTTCAGCAAGCCATTTCTTCGTAGCTTTTGCAATGTGCTTAGGATCATTATCTTGCCGGAAGATCCAATCAGGAGGAAATTCAAGATTTTCAACCAAAATCATTAAAATTGCTTCCAAAATATTTTGATATGCCACGGCATCTATTACTGATATGTAGCCAGTACGTTTTATTTTAGGATATTTCAACAAAATATTTTAAGAATCGCTACACAATTGCAGTTGTGCTTCAATGCATAAGAATTCGTCTCCTCAGATGGTTACAATAAATGTACACATGTCAGACAGTCAATTTTCATAAGAAATAAAAAGCGGGTTGGGGGGGTAGAGAGGTAATTTAACCGAATGCCGAACTAGTTATAAGCTTCTTTTGTAGTTGATAAATTAGACGCCTCTTTAAGACACTATTAAATTATATATATATATATATATATGTGTGTGTGTGTGTGTGTGTATATATATATATATATATATATACAAATTATATATATATATAATTATTTGGTAAATAATAAATATATATATATATATAATTATTTATATATAAATAATATATATAATTATATATATATATATAATATATATATATATATATATATATATATATATATATATATATATATATATATATATATATATATATATATATATATATTTATAATTATTTGTAAATAATATGCAACCGTTAAATAAATATCATCCATACAAGATGTTAATAATATCGAACTACTCAACGTAAAATGTTAAAAATACTAACTAAATACTAATGTCTCCATATAAGATGTTTATAACACTATAAGGAGATCAATACAGAACTAACTTCCTGCCTTACGCTCCTTTCTATTTTTGTATATTCACTGAACTCGTTCTCTACGCGCATGTATGCTGTTTGCTGCCAGTATAGGTTCTTGATTATTCTAATATCCTTTCCGAATATATCAAGGTTGCTGAGCAATTCCAACAGATCCGTGTGGCGTACTTTGTCGAAGGTCTTTGCGTAGTCCTTAAAACATAGGTACACGTCCTTCTACATTTGATTTGCTGTTTCTGATAACATTCTGAGCATGAATATCGCGTTCCTTGTTCCGGCGTCTTTAACAAACCCACACTTAAACATTATAAAGAAAATATGCTCTTGAGCATGTTTCGAACCTGCATCCCTCTTTTCTTTTTTACACACACACACACACATATATATATATATATATATATATATATATATATATATATATATATATATATATATATATACAAACACTAAACAGAGACCCATCCCCAATAAAACTGCCAAACTGACCAAGGGAATTCAGAGAAGCATAGATCACATCCAGCTCTTATCTCAAATAACAACTTAAAAGAGACTGTTTGACCAACACAGGGAATATTAAAAGATTCATGTTAAAAAGATAAAAAAATAAAAATAAGAAAAAACAAATGAAAACTACAGACAAAAGTTCATTTTCTCCATCAAGACATTCATTTCTGTAGTTTACTGCAACCAGCAAGCAGAAATAATTCTTCTCCCGATGATGGCCATTTTGGCCGAAATTAGTCGAGGAATCTAAATGAAATAATAATAAAAAAAACGAAAGAATATTAATCTACAACCCAGTGTGTTTGAAGATTTTAATTTTAATATTTTTATATTTATATTATTATATATATATATATATATATATATATATATATATATATATATATATATATATATGTGTGTTTGTGTAAGACACGGACAGATAAAGAAGGAAAGAGAAAAATAAATATCGTACATGTGAACATGTGTGGTCAGTAAGCCAGGAATAAGTAAGTAGATGATAAAATCAAAAATCAACACGTTGGCAAAATGAGCGTGAGATTTGACGTCCTGTCCAGCCAAGAGAACTGTAGCTACCGGCTCGAGTTGGGTGGGCCGATAAGCCACCACACTGGATGTTTATCTTATAAGCTTGCAAAAATAAATGACTAAATAAAAATTAAAGACAAAATAAGCCCTGAACGTAAGCAAATATTATAAGAAAAGAAAACATAAATTTCAAAAGAAGCTTCAGTGTCCATAGATTACACCGGACAGTGGCCAATCATGACTCTCCACTACTTCTTTTATAGATCTATGCAACGTTTGTACCCTTACTATCTCTCCCAATCCCTGTTCTACGATCTATTTACACAAGCTTGTTGGACAGGTTACTCATTCTTCCCTCTTGCCTTCAATATGTCATGTGAGTGTCAAATTCTCCAAGTCTACTTCTTTCGTTATGCATTATGGAAATTTCAAATGTCTCTCTAATTCGAACAAAAGCGTTTTTTTCCCCTTTTCTGGTTCAAAGCAAGATATTTTCCTTAAAACTTCCGCCTTACTCATAGAACTCTTCTGCAGAAACACATCTCTGTTGCCTCAAAATATCTTCATCTTTGAGAAAATTGTCCAGTATCTGCTGCCATATAGGAGGATTGATATTACATAGTTGCTTAGCACTCTTTACTTATATTGATTTTATTTTGATGATTTTATTTTGTACGGCTTATCACTCATTTGCAGATTATTTCAAGGCATAAAATATTTTTAGCTCGTGAGAATTTTTTGGAGATAATAATGATGTTGGTCTTACTAATTAACCTCTAACTAGGAAGGAGAGGAGGTGGACTCATCCCTTTCCCAAGGGTATTTACGCGTAAGTGAATATGGAGTTCTGTTGCCATATTTGGGCGGAAGCTGCCCAGACCTCACTTTCCAGTCTTGATAGAGTTCAAAAGCGTCTCCGAGTCCTTGCTGGAGAAGAATTATTTTCCACCCTCCAACCTCTCTCCCTCAGAGGCGGGATGTGGTGAGTCTCTCACTGCTCTATCGCTACTACCATGGAAAGTGCTCAGACGAACTGTATCTCTTAGTTCCGCTAGGTATGACCTTCACGGCTAGGATCCGCCATGACACTTACATAGTAGCAAACCACCGTCATTCCCTCCGTATTTCATGGGCGAGAAGTAAGTTCCACTCAAACAGCTTCTTCCCGCGAACCACTGTTCTATGGAACAAACTCCCAATAGGATGCTTCCCCGATCACTACAATCTGAACCTGTTCGATTCTAGAGTCAACTGATAGCTTCCCCTTCTATTCATATGTTATGGGGTCCTCCCCTTTTTCATATAAGTGGACTCGACCAGAGTGTTACTTGGACTGCTGCCGTCAAATACCCAGAGTCAATCAGTATACAGAAAAGACAGAGATTGTGATTGAGTTGGAGGTAGAGTAATAGTGTGAGGTAACCGCTTGTAGAAGTCTCAGTTACAAGCACGTAGACTCTAAGGAAGTCCTACTTCGAGACTGTATATATATATATCATTATTGCGACTAACCGCGTTCCTGGATTTACTAACAGTATTACCGATTGTATTATTGTGTAAATACATTTAATTCCTTATATTTAATTCTTGCGTTTGTCATTCATTGGAGACTGAATTTCATCACGGAATCCACAACACCATATAAACTACCCTTTAATCTTACCTCGAGTGGACCCCGGGCCTTGTACAAGGTGAACCTTACTGTAAAAGAAATAAAAATAACGAACTCAAATGGAATTGAAACTCGGCTCTCCGATCAACAATTCCGAGTTGTTATCCATTACAATACTCGTATATTCAGGCTTGCATCACCTGGTATTCCCAAGCGGTCACCCGTCTAAGTACTGATCAGATTCGACGTTGCTGAACTTCGGTGATCATAAGGGAACTGATATTTCAGCGTGATATATCTTTTCCTGTTTCTTAATATTTTGTTTATCTTTAGGAAGGCATCTTTCGTTATATCAATGCGTTTTCGGATTTAATGATCTTTTAAAAATGACACTGATTATACGATCGTACTTTTTTTATGTGACATGTGTGATCATGGTCCTCCACAACGTTCTGTCCCTAGTAGCTGTATGTGACATTTGATTCTTTATCATTACTGGTTGTCCCCATTCTGCCAGCGATTTATATTTTCTTCTTTATGTGTCTAGCCCCTTCAGGACGTGGCTCTCCACAGCTTTCTGTCCTCTGAAGCTCTAAGCAATCTTTGATTTTTTACCATCACTGTTTGTCTCCACTTTGATGACAGAGTGTGGACAAACAGTGATGGTAAAAATGTAAACTTTTTTATGTGCCGTGTCCTACCAGGACGTGGGCGCTCATTGCTCTTCACAGCCTCCTGTAACCTGTAGGTCCAGATAATGTTTGACTCTTTACCATTCTGCAACTCGTTTATAAGCAACTGTACTCAAATTTGACTGCATCTAATGCAACTCTACTATTGACATCAGTGTGGTTTATGCAACTGGAAAAATAGTGACATATTAAATACAAACAGACCCCCTACCGCTGAAAATAAAAAAAGGGGGAAAAAAAAAAACAATATTGATGCTTCACGACTTAACCTATTTTACATCAGAACACGTTTAGGCATGTGGCTTAAAACTAAAAGGATGATAGATAGAATAAAAAGAAATAAAAGAGAGAGAGGGTCCTTGGAAAATGTTATCAAAAACACACGGCTATTGATTGGTCAATAACTGGAACGGTATGTCACGTGGGCTCTTTTTCTTACAAGTTTGAACTTCGCTTGAGTTTCTGGCGCCAGCGATAAGACTGAGTCAAGTATATTGGGGGAAGTTTTTAAGGCAACTGAAGAAAGATCTTTGATAAAGAAAGAAAAAGATAGAGCAAGTCGGTTTTGAGTGCCACTGTCTGGAATACAGTATTTGAGACTTCACATCGGGGGCAGCTGTCGGAGAATCAGTGACAGGAATTTTAACGTTGGAAAAGAGAATCCCTATTCTGTATACCATCGCTAACTCCCCTCCGTTAACATCCCCGTTCGCTACCGCAATATTCATTATCTTCTCTGATTCCCCCTCTTTTTATTCATATATGACCTTGTACAATCATTAACTCGACATTAGAACACTTGCCTTGAGGACCGTTTACTGGACACACAGTTCTGGAAGCAGACAACAACCCGAATAAAATAGTTGGCTAAATGGAATATGGAAGCCTAATTAACAAAAGTAGTGATACGATCTTACCAAAATATTTAGACAAGTACGCCTCAGGACTCATTGAACATTCTGATCAGCATAGTTGAATTATTATTACTTACTATATTTCCAAATGTTATTATAGTGGACACTTATTTAAAATAGACGCTTCGTTTTATTTATTAAACACGGTGTATTACGTCTATGGGATTTAACTCTGCTTGTTGGTGTATTGTAGTTGTACGCGTGTTTATATGTAAACAAAGAAAATGGTACAAAAATTTGCATTTCTAATACGGACCGTTTTTTTATTTTTATTTTTTTATTTTTACAGAAACTGTAGCGAAACAAAGTTCTCAATATCTCTTGGGTACGACCGTTTTCTTTTTCTGGTTGCTCCAGAAGTAAGTTAAGAATGGTAATAATGGTCGAACTGAAGTCAGCTTTGCGCTGATTTGGAACGACCAAAGGAAAGGTTTATACTTATTTCATCGGCGGGGATTGTGCAAAACACATTGGAAACAAGGGAAAAAAAGGAGCGATTCTGTCCTTTTCGGAAATGAAGTCATAAAAATTTGACGTGATGTCCGTCCTATTGGCTAAATGGAATATGGAAGCCTAATTAAAAAAAAGTAGTGATACGATCTTACCAAAATATTTTGACAAGTACGCCTCAGGACTCATTGAACATTCCGATCAGCAAAGTTGAACTATTATTACTTACTATATTTCCAAATGTTATTATAGTGGACACTTATTATAAATAAAGTAAATGCTGGACAATGTCACAGATAGAGAGAAAAATGAAGGCGACAGAAATGTGATTCTACAGAAGGATACTGAGAATTCTATTTGCGAAGCGAGTAAGCAACGAGAAAATCTTGGAGAAAATGGTAACAAAAAGAAGTTTTACTCAGAATCAGAGACAACTGAGATTTCTTGGATACGTAATGAGGAAAAAGATATTGGAAAACTTAACCCCCACAACAGAGCAAGAGAGATAGTGGAAGACAGCGAGCCACACCTAAATGGCGAGCTTGGTTAATTGATTCGTTTACTACGGATTATAAACCCTTTTCAAGTTATTTAGAGCCAGAAAATATCTTTAGATTGTAAGATGTTTTTAAAGATAATAATGGTTTATTGATACAAGTCTTACTAATTAATATAGCCTGACGTGCCTTTAACCGATTTGGCCACAGAGGAGCATTTACATAAAAAGAACGTATAAACATAAACATTTCTTAAAATAATTGTCGGACTTTATCCATTTCATAATGTGTGACGTCATTTGTTTACATTTAGATAAGCCATAAACAGATATGAATGTACGTGAGAGAATCATGGAAGATTGTAGTTTAAAGACAGTAAAGTCTACCTTGCTAACCGAACGCTCCTCTGTGGCCAAATCGGTTAAAGGCACATCAGGCTATATGACAGTTCCGTATAGGATACAGGTTCGATTCCTGTCGAAGGACGAATATTTTCTATGAAAATTTCTCGGACATTCGGGCCGGTAAATGTTGTGTAACACTGTTTATTATAAACAGAGCATTTGCTTAAATTTGTGTGTGTGTGTATATATATATATATATATATATGAACTGATTTAAAATGTTTTTCGCTACACAGTTCTAACCATGTTTCAAAAATGGAAGCTAAAAGCTTAGAATTTAATTTTGTAATTAAATTAAAGACATTAGTTCTATTTCATCCTCAAGCGAATTTTGGAGTAACTTATTTTTAAATTTACTGGGTTTTAAAGGCACGGCAAAATCATAATTTACAGTTTTCAAGGATACAGAGAAATCCATTTATCCAGACAAGGGGTGGTTGCGTGTTCATTTTATTAACTTTTTTGTATCAAAAAATTTAATAAATTGAACACGCATCACCCCTTTTCCCATATTTTTGGAACTTTTAGCTTCCATTTTTGGAACATGGTTAGAACTATGTAATGCTCTGTAAAAAAAAGCATATTTTGAATAAAGTTAATTTATAATATTAATGCTCTGTTCTTTCTTTATATATATATATTTATATATATATATATATATTTATAAAAATAAAAATATCTATAAGAACACCGGATTATATATCTTACTGTTCTTTGAATTTATATATATATATATATATATATATATATATATATATATATATATATATATATATATATAGATATATATATATATATAAAGGCTTAAAACACTAATATTCCATGGTCATAATTTATTCCACTGGAATCGTAAATATGAATTAGTAGGTATATATATATATATATATATATATATATATATATATATATATATATATATATATATATATCGTGGGTCTATATATATATATATATATCGTAGGTCTATATATATATATATATCGTAAGTATGAATTAGTATATATATATATATATATATATATATATATATATATATATATATATATATATATATAAGATAAAAGATCAAATGCAGATCAAATATGGATGGGAATCCGACAGGATGATAAAATAAAGAACAAATAGAAAACGTATATCAATCCGACATGTTTCACTTTTATTAAAGCTTCACCAGAAATTGAGAGAAATCAAACATAAAGAGAGAAACACTGGTATTTTCAATTATGTTTGGGTCGGTTTTTATTGGTCAGTCACATGTCACGTGAATTAAAACCGTAGATAATTCTATGTGTATTTAAGTTTGTGAAGATTCTTATATGTCTAAGTGGGCATCAGATGGTAATGTGTATTTGTAATTATATATGTGTGTCTGTCTAGTGAGAGTTCTAATGTCTTCACCTTTGTACGTTCAGCTAGCGTAGCGGGGTGTCACATCATTCTAATTTATGTCTGATCTCTTTAAGCATGTATTCTTTGTATTAGATAGATATAAGTAAGATTGCTTAAGAATGGATTCAAAGAAAGATGGCAATGAAATATAATGCATTTGGCGTATGTTTATAGCTGGTAATAATGGTATTATTAATTTTTTCAATGTATTTACTCCTGAAAGGATTATTTTCTTTTTTAATTAAGGTGGCATTAGTAAAATCCAGAAATGTTTCGATGCAAAATTAAAGTTAGATCAAGAACGCAAAGTCTCTCATGTGTCCGTAGACGTTTAGATTACGTGATGTCTCACCTAAAAAAAAACATTTTTGCATATAAACATTTTATTTGATAAATCCTGGCATTTGAATTGGTGTTGGGTTTATTTTTTCTTCCTAATTATATCTCCAATTGTCTTGGAGGTGGTGGTAACGATCCTAGTATTAGGGATGAATAATTTGTTTGCGTGTTTAGTTTTGGAGGGAAGGATTATGAATTTTGTGTAATTTTTGTTAGAAGTGTTATTGGTGGTGTCTGTTTTTTTTTTTTTTTTTGGCTTTGTGGATTTTTTAAGTTTGTTTTTTAGCCTTGAGTATAAAATAATGTGGATAGTGGAGAAGTTCGAATGTTATCTTAATATATTTCTCTTCTTTATTTAGGTATTCCGGGCTATGAGATATACTCCTATGATTAGTCCAGATTTTATTTTCTGGGTGTGGTGGGAATAGAAGTTGATTAGATTGGTTTTATTTGTGGTTTATGATAAACTTTAAAATCTAATTTCTCATAGTTTCGTATTAATAAGATTTCTAGAAAAAGTAGAGAATTGTTTATTTCGAATTCGTGCGTGAATTCAATAGTCGGTCCAACCTTATTAAGTTTCATTATTATAGGTTTGTATCTT